GACAAATATTGTATGAGACCTCTATTGTAAAAACCCATGAAAAAGTTCACACACAAAATGTAACAATCTTTGTTGGTTACCAGGGATGGGAGGGGTGCAGGAAGATAACAAAGGTTCATTAGAATTAAGAAATTCTGTTGATTAAATTTAAATTCTTATGGACTTCAGACTTTCTGGAGCCATGGAGGCTGGATGAACTCAGAAAAGGAGGGTGAGGATGGTTGTACAACTTGAAGAATGTCATCAGTGTCACTGAATTGTACATGGAGAAACTGTTGAATTGGTGTATATTTTTCTGTATATATTCTCAACAACAACTAAATAAATTTTTTAAAAAATATATAAAAAAATTAATTCTGTGGATCAAAAGACATCAAAAAACACAGGAAGCAGCTTGAAGAGGGTCCCACCTGCCAAATCTGGGACAATTTGATCATCAAAATAAAATAAGGATAGTAAGGGATTATAACCCATTGAACGAGAGAATACCTGAATTCATACTGGAGTAAATGAATAAGGAAGAAGGGAAAAGCTCTTATTTGCAGTAGAAAACCAACTAACAGATGTACAAGGAAGGATGGAGTTAGAAAATCACTATTTGGCAACCATCATAATAATTCAGGCAAAGTCACTAATGGACACTGAAACTAGTGGACTTAAGAAGTAAAGAGGGTATTACATAGTCCCAAAATATCTCCCTACAAGACACTTATTAATTACAAAGGGAAGAGGTAACTTTATGTGGAGAAACTTGGCAGACTGTATCTTAACCAAGTGATGAATTTTAATATCACTGGCAATGGCGTAACGGCATCATGTGCCTCGTGATATTATGCATTGAGAAGGACACAGCATCTAGAATACAAAACCTTCATCTAATCATGAAAAGCCATTAGACAAAGAAAATTGAGGGGCATTCTATGAAATAAATGGTTTACAGTCTTCACAAATATCAAGGTCATGAAACACAAATACTAAGGAGATTAAAGGGGACTAAAGAGACGTGAGGACGGCACAGGACCGGCGGTGTCTCATTCTGTTGTACACAGGGTCGCTGTGAGTGGGAACTGACTCGACAGCACCTAACAGCAACAACGAAGAGACATGGCAACTGAGTACAACAATACAGGACGCAGGATTTTCTTTTGCTCTAAAGGACGTTACTGGGACAATTAGTGAAAACTGAATAAGGTCTGTAGATTAGATAATAGTAGTGTATCAGTACGTCAGTGTTAATTTCTGAATTTTGATAAATGTTACATGTAAGAGAATGTGCCTGTTTTTAGGAAATACACACTGAAGTATTTAGGGGTAAGAAAGCATCATGTCTGCATGATACAGATATGGATATATGTACATGTAGATATAGATTGAGAGAGAGAGCAAACGTGTTAAGATGTTAGCATTTGGGGAATTTGGGTGAAGGGTATGAAACAACTCATACTATTATAACTTTTCTGTGTAAATCTGAAGTTATGTCAAAATAAAAAGTGAAAAGAAAAACAGGGCACCATAAAGAAAGTGAAAAGACAAGACACATTTGGAAGAAAATATGTGTAAGACAAAGGATTAAGATCCAGAATATGTAAAACTCTTATGAATCAATAAAGGAGACAAGCAACCCAATACAAAAATGGGCACATGGCTTGGATGGGAACTTCACAGACAAGGGAACAGGAACAAGCAAAAACATATGGAAAGATGTCCAACTTCATCAGCAACCAGGGACATACAAACCCAAACCACAATAAAATGCCACTTTATACTCATCAGATCGATAAGTAGATATCAGCCAGTAAGTGTTGGTAAGGATATGGAGTGACAGGAGCTCTCATCCACTACAGATGGGGCCATAAACTGGGACAACCACTTTAATGGGTGTTATCTAGTCAAACTGATGCTACGTGTGCCCTGTGACCTGGGAATTCCACTTCCGGGTGCCTGTATACCCTGGAGAGCCTCCTGTCCACAGCACCAGGAGGTGTACCTAGGAAGAATGGTTACGGCCACCCCAAACAAGAAACATGGAGCCTCCCCCACTGCCACTTCCCCTAGTTGAGAATCCAGAATCTCTGCATTATGGGTAGGGAAATTGAGGCACAGGGGGAAGGGGCTGCTCAAAACATCACATGGACTCTGAGAGGATCAGAGGAGAGGTCTGGTGTGTAGGAAAGGGAGAAAAAGAGGAGAGAATGGGAGGAGGCGGAGGAGGAGGGAAGCGCTCTCGTAGTCTCAGATCTGGCAAAGTAGAGACCAGAACAGGAAGGGTTCCCATTGTATTCCTTCTCTCCCAGCCACCATCTGGGTTCCTGGAACTTGGGAGAGGGATTCTGTTGCAGCCCCCCATACCAGTCGGGCAGCAAAAGAGGCTGCTCCAGAGGGTACCAGACTCTCAATTTTCTCTGAGTGCTGGGTGCTTTCTCCCTAGAAAAGGTACCAACATGCTGGGTCTGCAACTATGAAGGAAGGTTATGGGCCCGTGAGGGCTAGCCACAAGGCTGGACTCCTTGCTTGTGCCCAGGGTTCACTCCGCCAGCAGATGGCGCCAAGACCACAGTGTTGCCACAACACAGAGCGGGGACTGCTGTTGGCTGCGCAAAAGCCCAGCAGAAAATTTGAAATTGTTTCTCTCCTCGGGACCAGATATAATTCTCAGGCAAGGGTCCCTCTACTACCAGTGTCTGTGAATGGCCCCTGTCTAGAACAAAGCCCCAAATTCAGGCCATTGATAGGAAGTACCTCCAGAGTAGGTGGGCCCTTTGGGATTGCCCAAACCCACCCTCCTGGGTTGACCAGTTCCAGGCAGTGAGCAGAGGCACAGCCAAACGCAATGCAACTTTGAGTCCTCCTGGCCTTGGCAGTAAGAGCCCAGAGGCTGGGGAGCACCCCCTGGAGGTTGAAGCTGCTAGGCCAGCGTTGGGCCAGCCTGTGGGGTTCTCAGATGCCGGGCCTTCCTAGCTGGGGTCTCCGTGTCCTTGAGTCATGGGGCAACTTGTGAACACACTGCTGGTTCTGGGACACTAAAGTGTGTGTCCCCATGGGGCCAACATGGCCACAGCTGCTTTCTTCATGGCACTGACTTGCACAGACCACTTGAGCAAGAGATCAGGGTTTCACAGAATCTGTGCGCACCTCCTCATACCCCATGACAGCAATGGGGAAGCTGAGGCCTGGGAAGGGCAGAGGCTTGCCCAAGGGCTCACCAGGTTTCTTTCAGGCTCACCTCCAGTCCTTGTGAAAACTTTTTGCTCCATCCACCTTCTCAAGGAAGTGTGGACGCTACAGGACATTTGGAAGAAGTTGCAGGTTTCAGACACCTGAGGTGCTGTCCCCGTGAAGAGTAAATAATTATGAAGTGGAACCCCTCACCGGAAGGGGATCTCTTGCCTCCCACAGAAGGCACTTCCTACTCCCGGCACCCTCCGCCTGCCCTCCAGAGCCTCACCATCCCCTGCCCCAATCTCAGGTCCCAGGACTGCTCCATGCTCTGCCTCTCCCTCACTTCGGGCCTCGCCTTTCTTGGCTCTAACCTTAGCTTTTGGAGGAAGGGGGGGTGGCATCATGAGCTGCTCTATGCCTCAGTTTCCCCACTGGTGGGCCTCAGTGAGAACACCCTGCCAAGGCTGTCCTCCTCCACAGCCTCTGAGTCTCCTTCAGGAGAACAGGAGCTCCTCAGCCAAGGCTACCATAAGTTTTATTATGCAAATTCCCATAGGCAAGGGGCCCAAGAAAATGGGAGCCCTTCCAGGACAGGCTTGGGCCTTCCTGTTCCTCTCTGAGCTGCGATCTAGGTTGCCTGTCCCAGCAACCAGGAATCCTCACTGTGATCCTGCAGGGGGCAGCTTCCCCTCTCCGGGCCCTTGCCTGCAGTGGGTGACCAGGAAGTCATGGACAGCACGTCCCCCCTCCCCCGAAGGGGCTGCCACCATCACAGGCACTGAGGGACTGTGGGCCCTGGATTGTCAGATCTTATGATTTTTCAAAGTAAGTTAGGCACCCAGGTTTTAAAAGGTTGACAACTAGTTTTTTAAAATGTATGTAATATTGTGGATGTCAACTTGACATCGTCCTCAGATTGGACCACCTCTCTGTGAACTCAGCTGAGAAACTGTAATATGCAAAGTCGGTAAATTTTGGGCAGTTGTTTCTGGGATCAAAGCAGAACAGACAAGTAGAAACAGCATAGACACCTGGACCGTCAGAACTGTAAGCGTCCTCCTCGTGGCATGGGTAGGGGCGCCAAGGCCCAGAGCAAACTCACTCTTAGGCCTGGGCCTGTTGCTCAAACCTACTTGCCTCTTGGCCAACGGTATTTCAGAACATTGGCCAACACTGGGGTCTCTAGCAAAGGAAAGGAGAGGCCCCCTGTCAGGAAGACACCAGCCCCACATGTCGCCAGCAGCCCTTGGGCAAGGCAGACCACATAGTACCTAAAAGGGGCTGCGAGTGGCAGTGGGTCAAAGAAGAGACAATGGCAGGGGTCTGGAGGGCACTAGTGCTGGTGGTAGTCTTGACCGTCGTGGTCTGTGTGGCCCACCGACTGAACTATGAGGAGATTATCAGTCAGGCCGTGCACTTCTTCAATCAGGGACAAAGAGGAGGGCCCCTCTTCCGCCTGCTAGAAGCCACCCCGCCGCCCAGATTGGTGAGTGTCCACAGGGCTCAGGACAGCAAAGAGGTCTAATTCCAGGGTGACCCTGGGCAATGCGTCTCTGGATCTTGGTTTCCTTCTGTGAAACAGAGAAGCAGGTAACACCTGCCTTATAGGAGGCTATGGCAATGGCAGGTCGGAAAGGATGTCTGTCACAGACACGAAGTGGCTGGTTAACGTTAGCTAACATTGCTGTTAGTATTATGATGTTCTTCCATAGGAAGGTAAAACAAGATTCTAATTTGGGGTCTGGCAGCTAAACTAAGAGCTTTGTCCAAGGATAAAACATGGGACCTGGGCACTCAGCCTGTACTGAGGTCCCCTGCTTGAGGGAATGTGCAGAGCTGCTGAAAAGACAGGAACTGGGCTGTTTTCCTGGCAGCTGAGCATGTGGTGCAGGGATTATTGTTCCTATTTCACAGACGAGAAAACGGAGGGGCAAAGATAGGAAGTGACCCCTGAAGGTCGAACAGCTATTAAGTGGTATCCCATGGCTAGTTTCGGAAAGCCCCACCAAAAAACAAAGCCACTGCAGTGGAGTCAATCCCGGCTCATAGCAACCCCATGGAGACTCTGGTAGTTTCCAACCCCCCCATCTTTCGGTTAGCAGTCAATTGCTTTAACCACTGAGCCACTAGGGCTCCTTTCCAAAAGCCCCCCACACATTAAATCTCTGCTGAGGCCGCCTAATAAGCCCCCTTGCTTCAGTGGAAAATGCTACGTCCCACAGACCTAGGCTAAGCCTCTTCCCGTTGTGTAACCTTAACCTCTCTGTGCCTATTTCTTCATCTATAAAAGAAAGATGGTCATGGTTTGTTTTTGTTTTCTGTTGCTTCTTTAGAACTCCATCTCAACGATCCCTCTCGACTTCAGGATTAAAGAGACTGTGTGCCTTTCAAATGAGCGGAGACCGCTTGAAGAATGTGCTTTCAGGGAGGGCGGCGTGAGTGTACCTGCCCTGTCAGCCTGAGAAGGGCTCCCTGGGGCCTCAAGGGGCACTGGTATCTGCCTCCACTCACCTCATCTGGGCATGGGAGCTTTGAATGTGGAAATCTTTCTAAAAATCAGATTTTTACTTTTACTTATTATAAATTCTTGTAAATCATTATTATAAAAGCAATACATGCTCCAAAAATTACAAAAATATAAAAAGAGTAAAACGAGGGCATACTCCAGCTAGAGGCATTCGCTTTTTAAAAACAAAATTAGAAAAGTAACACTTGATTATTACAGCAAGTTTAGAAAGTGTGGAGAAGCAAAATAAAATAAAAATAGAAATCTCTGGCAATGCCACTTCCCAGGGAGAGAAAACACTGGCAGCTGGTATATCCTCTTCTGCATCTTTTTTGGGCACAGAGATATATTTTAAACAAATAAAGGCTTCCTCTGGGCACGCTAATTTATGGCTGTCTTTGCCCTGTGATGGCTTACATGGACAGCCCTTATCTTAACGGGTGCGCGCCTAGTCCTCTGGGGTCCTTTCCTGAGAATGCCCTTCACGTCTGTCTCTGGGGTAACCCTCAGGCCTGCATCTTTGGTTTGAGGGAGGATTAAGGAAAATCCCATTGAGAGCGGGGAGCAAACGCGTTTCCACGGGTCTACACGGCCGCCCAGGATCAGGCACCCAGGACCGCCGGGCTCAGGCGCGTTTCGGCCTCCGGGGCTTCCAACCCTTAACCCCGTTCCCCCGCAGGAGGAGCGAAACTGCACTGGCAACTTCTTCAAGAGGAGGTATCGCCACATCCTGACGATCGACTGCACCAGGGACCGCAGGCGCGCGCAAGAGGTGGGCCGCGCGGGGCTGCAGAGCCGGGACCAGCCGAGCCCTCCCGCCTCTTGTCCCTCTCTCCGCCTCTCGGTCCAGGCTCTTCCTCTGGCCCAAGCAGTCGCGCCTCCCTGCCGCTGCCTGAACCCCCCATTAACCCGGTGCATCCCCTTCGCTGGCGCCTCTCTTCTTGGTTAATACCAGTACCGAGGTGCCTCCGCTGGGCCACTGACTTCAGCGCGTTGGGCTTCAGCTTCCTCTCTGGAAAATGGAGCTGATTAAGCTCATCTCAGTGCAAGCTGCTGGGAGGGTTAACAGCCAAGGTTCGCGGGGAACTGATGACTGCTAGTCGTTTGCTGGAGGTAGGGAGAGAAGAGACCCGTGGTGCGAGACGGGGGGATGGCGAGAAGTGTCTGGAGGCGCTCCGAGGACACTTGCGCTGCTCTGGGCTCTGGCCTCCACAGACACACACACACACACACACACAGACACACACACACACACACACACACACACACACACCCCGCCCATCTAGTTTAGGAAAACTGAAATCAGAGGTGGAGCCTCCTTGCAAGTAAGTGGAACAGCCAGGATGGTACTGACTCACCAGAGTCCAGGCCTGCTTAGGCCCTCTGGGCTCCAAGGGGAGGGGCCAGCCCAGGCCCACCTCCAGCACCTGGCACCCCACTGCCCTGCTTACCATGAGTCAGTCTCCACATCCACGCATCCACCTCTCAGGCCTCAGGAGGGGACACTGGGAGCTCGGGAAAGGGGACCATCAATGACGGTTGATGGGGTGACTATCCGATGTCACTTCTGCAGGTCCTCAGGGAGAAGCGCTCTGCCGAGTCCTCTGAGGGGACCCCTCCGAAGGCTGAGAGCTCCAAGCTGCCCCCCGTGATCAGGGACATGTATGAGAAAGCCAAGTACGACATCATCTCCAACATCCTGAGGAATTTCTAGGGCCACAGTAGAGAGGGGAAATCCTGCACCCCTACTATGACCTCCTGTTCCCCACCTGTACAGCTCTCTCTGCTGCCCCAGCGTGGCCCTCAACCCCTTCTTTCCTGGCCAGTCCAGGAGTGCCCTCTTTTAGGGGGCCTTGAAGGCCGAGTCAGTCCACACTCCACTGCCTTTGGATATCTGCTTCCCACTGCCTGGAATTCCTGTCCCATCCTGTCTGGGAATCTTACTCATCCTTCAAGGCACAGCCCAAAAGCCACCACCTCCAGGAAGCTTCCCCTGCCCTCTCTGGGCAGAGGCATCCTTCCTTCATCTGTGCACGCATGATCCTCAAACCAAGCTGGCATTACCTGCTGTGTCCCTATCAGGCAGCACTGTGTCTACACACAGCTTGGCTCCCTGAGCCAACTGCAGGTAGCTGTGGAATGAATTTCTCAACAGGGTGCTCCTGGCATCCTGGGAGGGCAGTTCCTTTTATGCACGACCCTGAGCACCCCTGCTCCCTACCCAGTCCCTGTGACAACCAAATGTCCCTTCATACACCCAAGCTCTTCCAAGGAGGCCAGGCCACCCTTGGGAGAGAACCACTGGAAGGAGGCTCAATGAAACGTTTCTGAAATAAATGACTCAGTGAGTGAGTGAATGACTAATGAAGTGCTAGAGAGAAGCTGGCCTGACACGCAGAGGACTTGGGTGAGGAGCCCAGTGGGGCAGGCCCTGGGGGAGGGGAGATTGCTGCTCATCATGGGAACCCAAACTCTGGGAGGTAAGGACAGGGACCATGGAGAGAAACCGGGGAGGGGGACATCAGAGGGCTGGCCTGGTGGCTCAGAAAGGCAGAGTAATCTCCCCAGCCTCCTCAACGGCCTTTCATTCCTTTATGCCACCTTCATGTCCCCACCTTTATCACAAAGCTCCAGCCAGAACCTCTCCCTGAACCCAAGACTTGCATATCAGACTGTCTCCTGGACACCTTCCCGTAGATGTCCAGCAGGCGTCACACATTCAGCATTTTCCCTCCAAACCTGTCCTTCCTGCAGCCCACCCCAGTCCAGCTGATGGCAACTTCACCCACCCACAAACTTGGGCATCCTCCTTGTTCCTCATTCTTTCACAACCTACATCCAGTCCACCAACAAACCCTTTGTCTTAGTCACTGATGCGTTCCCAAGCCCGAGAACAGTGCCTGGCACACCACAGTTGCTTAGTAAATATTTGCTGAATGAATGGATGCCCTTTTCTACTCACCAACATGCTCCTTCAAGAGTTTATACTACAGAAACACTTGACTGAAAACTCCCTAATTCCTGGGGCTATGGTGTAGAGGAAGCCAAGGACAACTCTCCATTAATAATAATAACAGCCATCATTTACCGAATGCCACTTTCCATAAGTCTCTCATTTAGTTCTCAGAACTGCCTTGCAAGCTGTATGTATCACCTGCAACTTTCAGTGAGGAAACTAAGTCTCAAGGAAATTGGGCCACTTACCTACAATCCAAACCCCAATCCCCTTGCCAGCTAAGTTCCAGGTAGCACCCACTGGAGGATGAGAGGAGGGGGACGGGGATGCTGCAGGGAGTGACCCCGGGTAGGGTTAGGAAATGGGTAGGTTTAGGTCAAGCAGGCTAACCTGAGACCCTCAGCCCGCTCCACATGGTCGGGAAATAATATTCACCTGGAGAAGGCTATTTCCAATCTTGCAGCCCCACAGAATGCAATGGCACCTCAAGCACACCCCCACATCACTCCCTTGCCTCTCTCTCACTTCTGAGAAATGGTATGAAAGTCTTCTGGAGGCACCAGGCCCAGCCCCTTGGGGTCCAGACATCAGGGGACTGGGCTGAGCAGCTCCTCTCAGGAAGCTCCAGGGCCCATCCAGGGCAGTCAACGCCACATCACAGGTCTGGGGAAGCTGGCCCACCAGGCTGTACCCTGCAGGGAGAGGCCAGCCTGCAGGGCCCAGCCACAAGACCCTGTCGGGGCCCACGCTGCTCCATCCACACATCCCCCCAACACCATCAGAGTCCTGACACCTCAGAGCTCCAAATGCTACTCAGTCTTTTGGTCTTAGGGAGTTCTGAAAGTCTTGAGGAGAACGGAGAATTCACCTGGGGTGGGGGTGATGGTGGGACTGGGTGAACAGATCTCTGGGGCAATATCTAAGAGCCTCAGGAATCAAACTCTACTCCTCATACATACGGTCACACACATGCAGATGTGAGTTTTATTTTAAAACAAAAATGACTTCAATTTGTCAAAACCCATAGGGACCATACAACTCGAAGTGTTAACTCTAATGTAAACTATGGGCTTTAGTTAATAAGAATGTATCAATATTGGTTCATCAATTGTAACATGTACCACACAAATGAAAGATGCTAATAACAGGAGAGAAGTCCCTGGGTGGCACAAACAGTTAAGTGCTTGACTACCAGCTGAGAGGTTGGCGGTTCAAACCCACCCAGAGGCGCCCTGAAAGACAGGTCTGGTGATCTGCTTCTGAAAACCCTATGGAGCAGTTCTACTCTGCACACATGAGGTCACATGGAGTCACTATAAGTTGGAATCGACTAAATGGCAACTAACAATAATGGGAGAGCCTGTGTAGGATGAGAGGAGGGGGCTTATGGAAACTCTGTACTTTCTGCGGCAGAGTTCCTGGGTGGTGCAAACGGTTACCACGCTTAGCTGCTAACCAAAAGGTTGGCGGCTCCAGTCTACCCAGAGGTGCCTAGGAAAAAATGCCTTGTGATCTACTTCCAAAAAATCAGCCACTGAAAACCCTGTGGAATACAGTTTTACTCTGACACACATGGGGTCACCATGAGTTAGAATCGACTTCACGGTAACTGGTTAACTGGTACTTTCTGCACAATTTTTCTGTACACCTAAAACTGCTCTAAAAAATAAAGCCTATTTAAAAATGACTTCATGGTATATGCTCCATTTTACAACCAGCTTGCTCATTTAATATATCCAGTAACACACTTCAGTCACTATTGATCTACCACATGACTTATCCCATCTGCCTAATGCTCCACTGGGTGGCTAGACTGTCATTCATTTATTCATTTATTGTAAAAAAATATGTAACACAACTTTTGCCAATTCATCATTTTTCAGGTATACAATTTAGTGATATCAATTACATTAATCATGTTATGCAACCATCACCTATAAATGTTGCCAAACTTCCATTTATTTAAATCATCCTTGCTGTTAGACCCTAAAGTTGTTTCCTATTTTTTTTTAATTGTTGTAAACAACATTGAGATGAAAATAAATTCCTTCCTAGAGTAGAAGTGGATCAAAGTGTTTGGGCACTTAAAGAATTTAATGTACTGCTAGACTATTTTCAGGGGAAAACATTAAACGATGCAGGAAGCATCAAAAGAAGATGGAAGGAATACACAGAGTCACTGTACTAAAAAGAATTGGTCGATGTTCAACCATTTCAAGAGGTAGCATATGATCAGGAACCGATGGTACTGAAGGAAGAGGTCTAAGCTGCACTGAAGACACTGATGAAAAACAAGTCTCCAGGAACTGACGGAATATCAATTGAGATGTTTCTACAAATGGATGCATAATAACAAAGAAGGTTCTATTCCCAAATGGGATTATGTGCACAGGTAGAGGGGTTTAGGATTTATAACACATATTTCTGGGGGACATATTTCAATCCATAATGGAACTGCCCCCTAAGCCATCACAACATAATGGGGGCCTGCAATCCTGGGGAGACACTGGAGGGGCAATTTGATTTATAGCTTTACAGTTTCACTGACTGCTCTGCTGCCTGTAGAATGCAGGGGGCACAAGGATGGAAGCAGGGAGACCACTGCAGTAATCCAGGTGAGAGATATGCTAGTGGTATGGACTAGAGCGGAGGCAGAGGAGACAGAACTGCATTGGAAGCAGAGTCAACAGAATTAGGTCATGGCTTGGCTGTGGGAAAGGAGGGAGGAAATGGATGACTCTCATCCCCTTTTGCCCTCAAAACTCATCATTGGGTTCCTGAGTGAGCAGCAGGGAAGGTAAGAGGTGAATTATGTGGATGGGGAAAATAGGGGTGACCAGGTTTGAGGATAAGAGCAAAGGTTCCATTTGGACATGGTCATACTGGGAACATACCCAAATGAATATGTCAATCTGGGCTGGTCCAGAGCTAAGACTCCAGATGCCATCCTCACAAATGGGAAAGGGCAGTATTAGTTATGAAGAGTGTATAGAAATCAGAGCCCAGAACTGAGCTCCAAGGCCTCCTACATTCGGAAGTTAGAAAAAAGTGGAGGTGGGGAGCACAAGAATAGAGAACAGGGGATAACCCTTGAAACAAAGAGAAGTGAGCACCCCCAGACAAGGGAGAGAAAGTGAGGGGCTCTAAGGACACAGAGCAGGCTCACTCTGGTAATCTCAATCCCTGCTGGTGGGGCAAGAATTTCCTTAATCCCAAAGGTCCAACTTCTACGAGAAGCAGGTGCCCACCCTCAGGAGTATCCTAGGCAAATAAGGAAATTGAATTTAAAATTTAAAATCAGTCCATGAAGAAAAGCCCAGGCCTAGGTGGCTTCACAGGTGAACTCTATCAAATTCTTTTTAAAAATAATAATCCGTCACAATTTTTTTTCAGAAATAGAGGAGCAGGAAATACTTTCCTACTCATTCTATGCAGCCATTATTGCTGGCCAGACAAAGCAGGCAAAGACATCACAAAAAAGGAAAACTCCGGAAATATACCTAATGAACACCATTCTTTAACAAAATATGAACAAGTCACATCTAGCAACATATAAAAAGGATTATACACCACGACCAAGTGGGATTTACCCCAGGAATGCAATGTTGGATCAACATCTGAAAATCAATTAATGTTACACACCATATTAAAAGGCCATCTCAATGATCATCTCAGTAGATGCAGACAAAGCATTTGGCAAAATCCAACACCCATTCATGATGAAAACTCTCAACAAACTGGGAACAGAAGGAAACTTC